CCCCCCCCCCCCCCGAAACCCTATTCAAGCTATCATGGCCCCGATAATTTAGAATCTAGAAGCATTACAGAAGAGGATGCGCAGCTCGCAATGCCATTTTCAATGCGTCGAAGGTCTCAGAACGACCATGTCGACAAAAAGATTCGGCACCGCGAGGCACCCCACGCAGAATAGCAGCGGCGATCCCTGTTTGTCTATACGCTTTGGATGTCTCGGGGCTCTCTGAAATCCTTGCTGTCCTTCGTTGGCTTTCAGTAGCTTCATTGCACCCGCCCTGGGACTTTTTGCATGTATCTGACGGTAAAACACTTCTCCACAAACCCACAATCAATAAGCCTGCTTGACCACATCTTTTAGCTCAAGCGAAACAGGATGTCTGAATCTGTCGATGTGACGGAAGCGGGTGTTGGACCCTGGTTTCAATGATCTCATACAGCTTCGGAATGCTGTGGAACCTTTGTACGGCCCTGCTCTCACCTAAATCCGAATCCTAAACCCTAAACTGTCAGGGAGAGAAGACGTAGAGACACAAAGAGAGAGAGAGAGAGAGAGAGAGAACGACACGATTCTGTAAGACTCCCTGAACCTCAAATCCAAAGCCCGGAATTCTCTGGCACTAGCAAATAAATTCCTAGACTGCAAGAACCCGGGTTCTTTTCTGGTACACTTCGGGCTTAGGGAACCGAAATCCCAAAGCCCCATCAGGCACAGGGATAAACGACGATAGTAACCACTGTGGACACAATGGACCCCACCCAACACTGAAACCCCAAAAACCTTTATCCTGACAACTTATAAAGCCCTATCAAAACGCTGAGAAACCCAGCCAAAACCGTTATATCATCAGCCAGAGAAAGATCCTGAACGCGACATCCCCTACACCCTAAACCCTAAACTCTAAAACCCTAAAGCCCTAAACCCCTAAAACCCCAAAATCCAGGGACCAGGCTGGGCACAAGGAGCCCGGCGAGCGATGGAGGGCTACGGGATTTGCCGACGCAGAGGGAAATCCTGGCAAGTTGAAACAGGTCCCGAGGGCTCTAGGGGCTTTAGGACGGCTCTTATAAGGCTTCTTTAAGGGTTTAAGGTTTGGGGCTTGGTCTGTCTTTGGCTTTGGGGGGTTTTGAGGATTTCGGGCTCGGGGTGTAGGAGTCAATCGGTGCTGTGAAAACAGACGAGAGGATGTGTTGAAAAGCCTCAATCCCTAAAACCCCTAAAGCCCTAAACCCCTAAACCCTAAAGCCCTAGAGCCCTAAACCCTAAACCCCTAAACCCTAAGTTACTAAAACGGACTCCGAAGACCTTCCTTCCTACAGCCTTTTAGGGCCTAGAGCTCTCCTTCTTTGTGGCTTTGGTGGGGCCCTGGATCTTCTTTTGGGCTTCGGGCCGTCGTGATGTTAGGATTTAGGGTCTAGGTTCGTAGGTTAGGGTTTAGGGTTTAGGGTTTAGGTTGGGGTTTAAGGTTTCGTTTCGGGTGCAGGGTGGGTTGGAGTTTTGGGAGATCGGGTTTGAAAGTGTGCGGTTTGGGCGCAGGGTTAAGGGTTCACAGTGGCTTGGGATCTCACTACGCTGCAACCAACTGATCGACTGAGCCCCCCCTGAATTGCTAGGTTTCAAATCCTGACCCACATCGTAGACCTCAAACCCTCATTCGTCGGGATTCCCACCTCTGTCTTACCCTTCTCCATGGCTCCAGTAGGTTGGGGGGGTGGGGAGTCTCTTGCAAGAAAGTAGGGACGCCATGGCCCCGCAACTTTAAGCCCCTGAGAGTGCCTAGACTAGTCTGCTACTTGCAGAAAGACCTCCGAGAGACACCGAATCCCCAATAGGGGCCCAGCAGCCACAAGGAAGGCCCCTCAACCCTGATCCTCTCAAAGCCCAACGCCCTCAAGTCCCTGAGCTCTACGCCGTGCCTGCCCTATTCGCGGTGATCCATTCCTTGTGCTCAAGTGGGGGTTGACAGCCGAGGGTGTAGGGGTGTTGTGCGGTTTCAGAGTGTCACCGTAAAAAGAGCCTAGGCCACCAAGCTGGGGTTCAAGAATCGAGCGAAAGCTTTTTCATCGAATTTTCCCTCGGCTTCGATGCCTTTGGGCACGTGGGTGGCGTAAACTCCTGCGGTTTGTTGCGACATGGGTCCTCTACGCACCCAATCGACCTTCCAGTAGGTGCTGCACGACTGCAAGGGGCACTACTTCATTAAACTAAACCCTGTAGTGGCAATCGGGAGAAAACACACAGATAATGCGGTAACAGTACTAGCCAGCTACCGTGCTTCGCTTGCACGGAAGTATAGTCTACTAAAGCGCCTAGAGCCCTTGGGCACTCGCCGTAGACCACCGCTCCTGCCCGCCATCGCTACTTGCAGCAGCACTGCCACCTTTACTAAATAGCATGATGGACGCATTTTTGTGTGACATACTCGCAGAGTCGTCAAAGGCCGAAAATGTCTAATTTCAGGCTGAGGGCTTGCTGCTTCTGTATCAAACCTCTAACTCGCTTGTTCATGCAAGTACCCTGAATCGTGGCAACGCAGCGGTATTCATCGCTAGAATGAGAGGATGCTCAAACTTGCCATCCAGACCCCTGCATGAGCTCCTGCTCCTCCTAGCACTGGCGCAACACCCTCAACCCCAAGCATACAAGTGTCTCCCAGCCAAACCACAGTTCCAAACACCTGCGCCTGATACCACGATCCCCAGGTTATGAAGCGTGGGTATTTAGGGCCTAGGGTTGAGGGCTTAGCTCATGATAGAGGGTATTTGGGGAATCTAGGTATACAAGCTGACACCTCTTGGCTTGACCCTGCATTTAACCGCCGCCGAAGAGCATGAATAGCGCTGCAGTCGGGTCCATCGCGTGCCACTTGTGCATCTTTGTACCTTGGCAATATAGGGGCCCGCATGATTAGAATGAGCTTTTGGGGTATTGTATAATATAGCTGTAAGAGGGAACCATAAGGTTAAAGGGACTGAGGTGATCCAGCGGCACTGGTTTGGGCCTCGAGCAGCCTTTGGTCGAGGGCACCTGAGTAACAGTACCTGACGGTCTGAGAGAGTACATCGCCCGGGCGGAAGGCAACAGTGAATCCTAAAATAACTCAAAGTCCAAAACCTCAACTCCAAAATGATGTTTTTATCGATGATTGAGGCTCCTTCTGGGGGGTTTAGCACTTAGGAACCTAGAGTGAGTCTACAGTTGCGGACTTAGGGCGGGGTTCTGGGTGAGTGTAGCCGCCTGCAATACTCGCGATAAGAAACGAAGACGAAGCACCTCGTACGATATCTTGAGCCTCCATGGGAGCTCCAGTTTTTGATTACCTTTTGTGATCCCTACGTACCAACTTGGTTAAACTTCCAACAATGAATACTGTAGGTACCATCCAAGACCCCCAGTACGCAGCACCCCAATTTGCAGCAGCCAGCACTGCCGAAGGAGTGAGCATAGGAAACAACAGGTCACCTAGCAAGTGTGGTAGTTCGTCTCTATCTAAACGGGCAAAAGCCAAGAATAGGCTGTACATGAATCCTGTTAGAAGCACCTGCAAAAAAGTCCTGCCGGTAACGCTCATGACACTGTCTAGCAGTGCAGCAAAAAGAAACAATTTTGCAGAAGTCCAATCCTTACACACGAACTTTAAAGCCTACACTTCACACCGTGCAGAGTCGCGCTCTGAACCCCCATCCATCGCTGGGATGCCGACACATTTTGCCAGAGGGCGACGCTGGAGTCGAAGTACAATGTCAAGAACAACCTGGGGCCACGATCCGCTTACTTCCTGTAGGCTTTAGGTATGCTTGCTGTGAGTAACTTATAAACAACTTGCACAAGACTGAAACTCCGAAGAAACCCCAACAAACACACTTCTCATGGTGCCTCTTCGCCCTGGCCTTTTTGTCTGGCCCTGGCTCTGCCTTCGTCTGCCCATCTGTCTACTGGAGAGACGCTGTAAACAAGGAATGCTCTTCTGGCAATCATGTCAGGCGGCAGGAAATACATCGTAGTGGAGAACGTCCACTCCAAAAGGCTGGAACGCAACCTTCGTTGTGATGTCCACCATATCGCGGACCTTTAGTTGCTCCTTCATGAAATCGAACTTGGTGTCTGCCAGGCGGCCAGTGTCGGCACAGGCGCGGTAGAGGCCCTCCAGATCGTCAATGGCGGCCGCGACGTCCTCTGGCGTCGGCACACCCCCTCTGACAGCATTGTAGATCACAATGGTTACAGTCACGTGCTCGGCTCCATTTCGCTTGGGCGACTTGATGGACAAGCCTTTCCAGACGTCGTGCTCCGTGCCGCCAGAGACGCGCGCGGCGCTGCTGAGCCCTTTGGGTGCAGGAGCACTTCTTCGAACGGCTGAGCTTCGACACCTGAATTGAGGGGACTGAAGCTGGGGTGCCATACAACCGGCCATATTCGAAGAGGAAACTGGCCCCGCACAGCAAGGTGCAAGAGGCGGAGGATAACCTTCGGCTGTGCTGCTGCTGAACATCGAAGAGGAGGCTGGCGCTGCCCCAAGAATATCTTCGTCTGTGCTGCTGCTGAACATCGAAGAGACGACAGGCGCTGCATAGGCATAGAGACCCGCAAGAAAACCTCCGCCATTGCCTTGAGGTTGGCGCCGAGGTTTGCCTTGAGGTTGGCGCCGAGGTTTGCCTTGAGGTTGGCGCCGAGGTTGCTGCTGCAGAGGGACCTGGATGGTCATCAGCACGTTGAAGCGCTGTCCCATAGCCGGGACGCCGATGACACTTGAAGTGGCCCTGCGACGAGCCAAGGCCGCGGCACGCTCCTGGTTAGACTCCCGCTGCTCACCGCCAACCTTGTGGAAACTCTCCTCAGCTTCAAGCCAATAGCGGTGGATCTTGCCATCTCCTTCCACCGCGTGGTGAAAGAGCTTCTTTGAGCCGCGCCCGTCTTGCTGCACTGCCATGCCTTGGCTCGTGCAGAGTAACACGAGATTCCGCGGATCGGAGTCGCTAGTGGTGTTGTAGTTGTAAGCCTCTGTCGCAAACTCAAGTTTCCCTCTGCCACCGGAGGATTCCTCCACGGGAATGAAGGTGGTCTGGAAACGAATGGAGCACTGCGCATCCAGGGCTGCGTTCGACAGATCAGTCTGTCCTTCAAGGCCAGCGTAGCTGCCGTATGCGCCCATTTGCTGCAACACGTTCCGAAGCGTCACTGGCTGCAGCGGGACACCTGTGCGAGAGGCTACCACGGCCACCTCATCTGCAGAGACGATGCCCAGCTTTTCGTTCCAGTTGTCACTGCGCACCGTAAAGAGGCGCTGCCCAGTCTTGCTCTTGAGGTAGGTGTCCGTGATGTTCGCCCCCCAGCAAGACAAGGAGCCGCCAACGGTCCCGCGACTGACATCATCCCAGGAGACCACCTTGCAACTGTACGTTGCATAGTGGCCGCCTTTAGAGCGGCAAGCCTCGTTGATGGCCTTCATGGTTGCTTCCACAGATGCCATTTTGGGCAGGGCGGTCGGAAGAGCCGTCGCGCGTCTGTGGGTTTTTACGCGGAACGGCTTGAGCCGTGGCCAGTTAGGCGGCAATTCGGTTGGGTTCAGGCTGTCACGGAGGTTTGTAGTTTCTGGGGAAATTCTGAGACCTTGCAGTTGCTACAGCTCCTAGCAGCTGTACGTTGTGGCGACTTCCGTCCTCGTGACTATGGTGGCAGACGCAGAAGACGACACGGTGCAGGCCGCTGCTACGATATTCGTAGTTCTTCCGACCCCTGCATTTAAGGGTTCAGGGGTTTGGGGCTTGAGGGGGAAGGTTTCAGTTTTTTAGGGCACATATATATATATACACATTACAATAAGCAAATCAACCAATAAATAGATTATATATGTATATATATATATTTATTTATTCATTTATCTTTATGGTGCAGCGCTGCCAGGCCCCCCCCTCCCCTTGTGGTTCCCTGTGGTGTGGGTTCACCCCCTTCCCGGGAAGATGGTGATCAGTATCCCCTTCTCGACAGTCTTGACTGAGAGACATTCAAGCACATGCTCGGGCTGACACTTGACGCACCCAACCGAAATTGAGCATAGAATCTGGCACAGAATCACAACGGTCGATACAAACTACGAAAATTTTCGAAAGAACATCAAGCCAAACAAGCTTTTGAAACAGATGAACACAAGCAAAGAACATGCGGCACCTAAGGGCAGAGAACGGCATAAGAGCAGTGGCACTACCAACTCGGAATGCAAGCATGCAAGAAGCACCTCAGCATCATCGCCATCATTCATTCTCATCTGTGTGGGGAGGGGGGGTGCGCGATTTTGCGTGAGAGTCCGAAAAGAACGTCGACAGCTTCCTGAAGGTTTGAGACAAAATTCATAAGGATCAGGCGGTTAAGGATTCGAGCTTTGATGGTGGATTCCCGGGCTTTCAAAGGAACAAGCATTTTTGACCGATAATGAAGTAATGAAGTCTTTTGGGAGACTGAATCTGAGTTCCAAGGGCATTCAAAGGATCCGGTCCAGAAGGCATGATGTCCGTGTGCTGGGAGCAGGGCGAAACGTGCTTTACTCTGAATCGTAACTCCTACATTCCTTTAAACCCTACCCTAAAGCCCTAAACCCCCTCTCTCTCTCTCGCTCTCTCTCTCTCTCTCTCTCTCTCGTTCTTTGTGTCTTTCCTTCGTCCCTTCTGTATCACTTTCGAGGACCCAGTACCCTAAGCCCTAAACTCCCTAAACCCCACGCCCCTGAATCCTACACCCTTAAGCACTAAACTTACTAAACCCTACAGTAAAGCTGGATAAGAACAGCAGCTGGCCCGAATCTGTACAAGAAAAGAGCCCATGGTAGCCGGGGTTTGGGAGCACTCGAAGACTCGAAGCCTACTTAGCAGACGGGCAGCAAACCGATCGCAAAACACCTCGGGTTGCGGGATGTCAATGTCTCACCTGTGCCAAGAGCGATGGAAATCTGCTGCATAGAGATCTGGGTTTAGCTTGAACCACTCTGGCATGCTCAAACAGCACTGAGGAAAACTATTTGTGGTTGACACAACATAGTCATCGCGTGCAACTGCCTTGAATACGCATTGCGCCAGACTTGGGGTTCTCAACCAAAAGTACTCCTCACGGTCGCTAATCAAGCAATGTGGGAGTGCGGGCCCACGGTGCTCATGTAGGGGCCTAATTCAAAAATTAGAATAGGGTTTTGGAGGGTCCTTATTGTACTTATACTATAATGGGCCCCAAAACCCNNTATTAAGGCCCCTATATTGGCCTCTGTCTGCCTTCTCTGCGTCCGAGCCGGAGGGGGAGTGGGTCGAAGATAATGAACAACTGGGCTCAAGATCTCAACTCTTTTCAGAACCTCCAAAGCCTGTATTAACGGGCCCTGAGGAATTTGAATGGGGTCTTGGGCGGCATATGACAGGATGGATGATAATATAATCAGGAGCCCTTCGGAATGATATTGGTAGCTATATACTCTGCTATATACTATACACTCTATACTCTACACTCTACTCTTATATACTATACAATATATATATTATATTATATTATAT